CTTATAAAGTGTAATGTGAAATTTCATGTATTAGCATCAAATTCACATTTTTCTTAAAGTAACTAAGTGTGAGATTTTAAAAAATAGTTTAGTTACTTTTAATTATTATACTTTTAATGAGATTATGTCCTATCAAACCCGTTCGGCTAATGACCATCCACTAGTCAATGGAGCAGTGGGTAAGAGTGGATACCTAATAGCGGTCATTTATAGGCCGCTTCCTTAAACTCCCATTGTAGATCGGCTTTGTGAATGAGGCGTACTAGCGGTTCGACTGACTTAGTCTTATACATATAGTAAATATTAAACATCTAATTTTACATATAGTATAAGATGTATTTTTTTAAAACATTTTAAAATTCCAAGGGTTTAATCTTTTTAATAAATTAAACTTTTTAATTTAATTAAATTTAAACCATCTTATGGATTTACTAATTATCTTTTAATCAATCATTTAATTAAAATAATAATAAGATCCATAAGGATGTATTTTTAAACTTTTCAAAATACTAGGTTTAATTATTAAATTTTGAAAATTAAAACTTTTAATTTAAATTTAAAATTAAACCAGATGATTTAATAATTTATCTTAATTAAACATTTAATCAATTTATTAAATCAGATATGGATTAGCCAATTAAAATAATCAAGATAGTTTAACCTAATCCGCTCCCCCTAAATTTTGAAAATCATGGGAGGGATTCTTCAAATCTTATAATTATCTAGTTAATCAAATAAGGAGTTAATTACCAAAAATAAGAACCCTACCAAAAACCCTAAATTTCAAAAAATAGCAATTCTTGGGGAGGAAGGCAAAGATTTCAATCCTTACGAGGGTTAGGAAACCCTAATTTTCGAAACTTGTAGAACAAGGGAAAGGGTTCAAACCCCTTTCAAAATTTCGAAACCTAGGGTTAGGAAACCCTAAATTCGAAAACCCCTAAGACCAAAAGGGTTTAATTGCCATAAACTCTAATTGATCAAATTCAAACAATTGCAATAAAATTCAATAGAAAACAAGCCAAGACTCTGATACCACTGATGGGTTTTGAGCATAACAAACAATTCCTATGTGTGCATGCAACCCTAAATTCTTGGATCTATGTTTTCTCTAATTAAACATACAACTTTTGAACATCAAATAGAAAACCCTAATTGCACTAGTATATTTTAGAAATCTATAAAATAAGGTTAAGAAAACACACCTTGATTGTTATATAACAATAAAATTTTGAGAGCAAGCGTCACAAGTGTCACGCCTCTAGTAGTTCACACCCAAACTAAGCAAGAGGATGAGAAAAGAGAGAGGTGCTAGGAATTTCGACTATTCCTTTAGGATTTCAGATGATCGAAAATATGAAGGGGTAAGGCTCTTTATATAGGTGAGGTAGCTTAGAGCCAGACCTAGGGTTTTAGGAAGAAACCCTAATTCCTTAACTTAAGAACCAAGCAGCCCATGAATTCCCATCTAAGAGCCTTTGGACGAAAACTCTAGGGCCTTCCTAGAAGTTTTCGTCCAACCCCTCCTAGGGAGGTTCTAGAGCCTCTTTCCTCAACTATCAATAAAGTGCCAAATAACCCCTACACTTTTAATTAATTCAATTAATCCCAAAATTAATTCCAATTAATTTTTGATTAATTATTAATTAAATAATATGATTTCTAATTAATATATTATTTCCATAATACATTAATAAATCATTTATTTCAATTTATTAATCAAATAATAAATTCAACCTCTCTCTCCAAAAGTCATCATGTCCGGTTGCTAGTTTTGAGGGCAACCCAAAAGGACTGTGCTACTATCAATTCAAGTATATACCAATTATAGTTATGGGCTTAGACACCTAATACAATAGTTTTTATGGGCCAAGTCAGACGTGTGGTCTGGGTCAAAAGCATATCAAACACCCTGACCGGACCGAGTCAGACCAATACATCTGACCGGACCCGGTCAACACCAAATCAAATAACCCCTTAGCTAGCCACAATTAGCTTATTTTTTTGTTGGACTTTGAATTAGTTATGGATTAATAAACCTTTTGTCTTTAAGTTGTGGGTTCACATACCCCTTGTTTTGGATTTAGGCCTATAGGACCTTTAACTTTGATTTGTTAAACCTTCGATAGTCTTGTTGGCTTTGATTGATTTTAGAAGTTTGATTCCATTGCCTAATTGTATTTTAACTTGTGCTCTTGTGTGGTTTCACTTGAATATGTATTGATGATAATTGATCCCTCTTTGCTATGTTAAAGCATTTAGTTTTTTTTGGAATTGGGACTATTTACTTTTCGTATTTAAAACTGTGATTTTATTTTGATTTAAAGTGAAATGATTTTAAAATGTATTTTTAAACTACAATAGCGAGAGGTGTTTTATATAAGAAATACTCAGTTGATGTAGGGTCGAATATCCATGTTAAATAGGAGATAAATTAGCCATCCTCTAACAGTTTCACACATATAAGGAAGATTCTGGTGTAACGGTTTGGTGCTAGCTCAATGAACTAATAAATCTTACTATATGATTATACGAGTTTTAGAATCCTCTAACAAATCCTAATAGTTATGTAAAGTTTATGCACAAATATATGTGAAAATGTGAGGAAAATGCTCACTTAAATAGCTGCATACCGGGGTTACTGACGACTGTAGGTTATGTCATGCTTGGAACATGGCCTACTTCTCTTGCAATGTGTTCAAACCATGCTCGTATGGGATTGGTATCGCCTAGCATGTTTTCTTTCACAACTCTTGTATTCTTTTCAACATTGATTCCTTAAAAGAAGCTTCTAAGGCTTCATATAGTTCTATGGATCAATAAAAGTTTTCATCACTTGCCCTAATTGTATGACCCATTAGGTTCAAATGACGGTGGTAGTAAGGTTATTCCATTATGCATATACACATACTCTAAAATTTACCACCTTCCTAGTAAAGTTGTAGTCGACATGGTATGACTCCTTTCTTTTATCATTATATATATATATATATATATATATATATATATATATATATATGTATAGAGCAAATAGAAAGATTTCCTCTCTCATAAATCATACTTGTGTGTATTCTTTTACCATCACCAATGGTAAAGTCGTATGAATAGTGGTAAGACTGTACTTTTTTTTCCTTAAATGTGTATGCACTAAGGAAAACCAACACAATTCATTGATTTCGCAGGCATGTGAGAAGAGTAAAAATGTACCCCTAAAACTCCAGATTAGTGACGGATAGCGAAGAATTTGCAACGGATCGACGGATTACGACAAATTAGCGATGGATTAGCGCCATATTAGCGACAAACTAAAACTACGGGCCCTTCACGATAGAGGTCTTGTGCGGTCACACACCTGGAACCTCCACAGGGTCAGACCGAAGAAAATGTTTAGAAATTATCATAATTTATGTCTACGTGCTGTGTATACTCGTCGTGTATACATGTCACCCCAAATTTACACTACACAAATATGGCAAACACGAATTGTAAAACATATCTTAGGTATCAAACATGGACACGACACATAATTAATCCATGTGACAAGTGATACAACACGAAGAGACATTTTTGTAAATGTGTTATACGAAAAAACAAATAGACATGAATTTAATTTGTGTTTATGTGTGTTGTGTGTCAAGCGTTTATACGTGTCGTGTGTCAACACAAATTTAATTTGTGTCTATATGTGTTTAAAGGAATAAATTAGTGTTTGACACGCGTAAGACACAAAGCACGAATTTGAAATTCGTGTTGACATGAATAAACATGAAACACGAATTTTTAAAACGCATACACGGAAAAATTGTGTCGTGTCAATCGTATCGTATATCAAATTGACGTGTCTACTCAATTGTAAGGGTGGAAAATCGGGTCATTGTGTCGTGTTTTTGTCTGACATGACACGATGTCGTGTTTTTTAACTAACACGAAAACAAACCATTTAAAAAACGATCAACATGACATGACACGACACGACAAAGATAACATAATATAACAATTAATTAATTTAATTAATATTTAATCATACATAACACGACAAACACGAAAAATACGACAAAACAAATGCTAAATCGAGTCAATTTCGTGTCGAATTTTGAACACGAACACGACACGATACGTGTTTTTTACACTTGACACGAACACGACACGAACACAAATTCAAATTTCAGGTTTGTCCCAATTTTGTTTCGTGTCATGTATTTTTGTCGTGTCATGTCATTTGCTATCCCTATTCAACTGTACATCGTCAAACCAAAGGTACTTTTACAAAAATTCCTAAATTTGGTACCGTTTACCGCCTTCCATACAAAGTCATGAGACCTACTACCATATAGTACAACATTATCCTAAAACTCCATAAAGTTGTACACATTGAATAATGGCACATTTAAAATCTGAATAAGTTCTAAACACATGTTTAAACCATTCCAACTATACCGAGACAATATGCAACACATTTTCAACTACCAACATAGCATACAAAAACATTGACATGTCTCAAATAGGTTTACATATCCACTCAAAAAATGTATACTATCAAGTACAAACATATATCATATCTGATTTGGGTAATGCAACTTTTCACCTTCGTTCTAGAACTTTACCAAAGTTACACTTCTAGTCCCTCTGGTATCGGCCTTTACATTAACAACTTCAATCTCACCATTCCAATCAATTTCAAGTTATAAACATATTTAATTTTCTAATTAATTCCAAACATTAAAATTGATAAGGAAATAAGGTTTTTTTTAATGCTTTCTTTCTAAAATGTTAATTTAGCAAGGACTTTCTAAACCTCGCAAACAACAAAATCCAAAATTCCACAGAATCATTTTTGCCAAAGTGATGATGATTTCTTAATGCAAGTAAAAGAGATGGTGGGTTATTTGGTCATTTGACAATTGACACCACAAGTTTTTGATATTTTAGTGACTATTGATGTTTACTGATTCGGGTCAAATCGCTCACAACCTGACCCGTTTCCCTTAACCCCCGTTAAAGTTTAAATTGTCACCACGGCTCACAAGAGAAAACGTCACCGGCATCCGAAGGAAAACGCCGGTTAAGCAGATACTTCCACCTTCCGTTGCCCCTACCGCGACTGCGAGTTTGTGTGAGAGATAATTCTCAATACTCAAGTCACATGGCAACAAAACTTCATGGAGCTTCGATAAGTTCCTCTTGCCATCCACCTTCCCCAAAGAGCTCTTCATGTAAAATAAAAGTAATCACCACCAGAGTTTCAATCCAGAGAACAAATCAATCTCTCCGACGGATATCTAAAATCTCATGCTGTTCTGAGGTTGGAGCAGCTTCTACAAATTCTCGTTCGCAGAATAAAAGTAAGAAGATATTGTGATTGCTTCATTCTGAAGCAAAATTGTTTGATTTTTGAATTTTGTTCCTCCTTGGTTATAGATGACCGAATGAATAAGTTATGTTTGTACTGCATGTTGTGGATGCGGTGGATAATCTGTGTGAATTGATCGGAAAATGTTTTTCAAAGAATCGTGAACTATAAGTTCTCGATGAAATGTACATCGAAACATTTTTGATTAAGCATACAGATTCATCTAAGTGTCTTAGAGCTTGAAAATCTAGGTTAGAAGTCAGAATTGTTAAATACGACTTGAATTTGAATTCATCCTGATCCAGTTCATCTTCTACAACTGTATTTGGTTTCCCTAACGTAGCTTAAACGCAAATGAAGCATATATCATGCAAAGTTTTGAACAATATCCATTAATATGTTTGGGAAAATTGCAGGGCCTTTGACTACAACTGATCTCACTGGTTCCTTCAAGGATGGATCTGGAATCCGAGTAGCATACCAGGCATGAGATTGTATACTTGGTTGTTGCTTTAGCTTCATGATTTAGTTACAAAATAAACATAACCCTACATTTACAATTCACATACTTATTAAACAATATTCATTGTGAAGGGTGTTAGTGGAGCATACAGTGAATCTGCAGCAGAAAAAGCATACCCAAATTGTGAAACTGTCCCTTGTGAGCAATTTGATATTGCATTTCAGGTGAGAATTCAACATCACTGATCATGATCATACTTTCACTCTATATCCATATCTATCACCATGAATCTTACAAAAATTTTGGATTCAGGCAGTTGAAAACTGGATTGCTGACAGGGCAGTTTTGCCAATTGAGAATTCTCTTGGAGGTAGCATCCATAGAAACTATGATCTATTACTTCGACACAGGTTACATATTGTTGGAGAGGTGCAGCTTTCTGTTAGACACTGTTTGTTAGCCAATCATGATGTCAAAATTGAAGATCTTAAACGGGTTCTCAGTCATCCACAAGTATGTTCTTCATGTTAATTCTTCTTTATTTTTTAGCTTTACTTATTATTTTTTTTTAATAAAGATGTGTTACACTTATTTGCAGGCTCTTGCACAGTGTGAGCACACATTAACAAGGCTAAAAGTGGTCAGGGAAGCTGTAGATGATACAGCCGGTGCTGCACAGGTAAATTATACTTTATGGAGCAATTATTAGCAAGATTTTGAGGGTATTATTTAGGGTTTAGGGTTCACATAGTTTAATGACAATGTGTGATTTTGAGTCTTATATCTCAAATACTCTCAAGAAGACATCTTCTTGTGGATCAAAGATTGTAACTTTGTCATTTTAGGAGAAAATATAGAAAAGCATAAGGTAGTTTATGGTTTTATTGATTTAGCCATTGAATAGAATTATTATGTTTCCATTGTTGATGTGTGTTTCAGTTTGTTGCTCAACACAAACTCAAAGACACAGGAGCAGTTGCGAGTGTTGGTGCTGCCAGGATATATGATTTGAATGTTCTAGCTCAAGACATACAGGTCTAGATACCTGACATGACAGAATAAGTTGTACTGTGTTTGGTGTGCATTGGACTAAGACTCAGACTGATGTGAATGAGACAAAGATTGAAACTTTTTCTCCCACCCAAAAGGTGGATTAGATCTCTTGTTTGTGCAAATGACGTAAATGCCCTCCTCATCTCAACTTTGAAAATAGCCCTAGAAATGCCCTCATCCTTATCTGCAAAAAATAGTCTGTGCAAAAGACATAAATGCCCTCCTCATCCTTTTCTGTTGAAATAGCCCTAGAAAGAAGACTTATGCAAAAGACATAAATGCCCTCCTGATACTCATCTGTTGGTTTTCCAGGATGATTCAGACAATATCACTCGATTTCTCATGCTGGCTAGAGATCCAATTATTCCAGGCACAGATAGACCCTTCAAAGTGAGTGATATCCACAAGCACAATTAATATAAATAAAAAAAAAAAGTTATTTTTGATATAATCATTTTATTTTTTATTAAAATTTAATGCAGACGAGCATAGTTTTTTCCTTGGATGAGGGTCCCGGTATGCTTTACAAGGCACTTGCTGTTTTTTCTATGAGAGATATTAATCTCACCAAGGTTATATTCATGTCATATGCTTTTCATAATGTCAAAATGTCGTTTTTGCCCCTAATGTAAAACCAAAATTCTTGTGCCACTTATTCATGTAATCAGATGGAAAGTCGTCCGCAGCGGAAACGACCTCTTGTAAACAATGATGGTTTGAAGTAAGTTTTATGACAATATATGCATAAATTAAGTGCTAATTAAAACAATTTAAAACATAATAAACCAATATAATATGCATAAGAACATTATGAAGATTATGTATTTGCTAATTACGCAAGTTATTTGTGAATTTAATATACAGGCATTTCGACTATCTCTTCTATTGTGATTTTGAAGCATCAATGGCTGACTACAATGCCCAAAATGCCCTTAAGCATTTAAAGGTGAAATTATTTAAAAATGCACAATTTTTGTTTTCTATTTTTTACAAGCACATTGATAGAAAGATTTTATTTTCTGGCAGGAGTTTGCAACATTTTTGAGAGTTCTTGGTAGCTACCCAATGGACATCAATTTGGTATGATTGAACTTGGTCAACCCTTGATAGTAATACTTAGTAGGTCAAGGGTTAAAAAAGTAAAATTCCCATTTAGATGACTGTCATATACATTGTACAAAAGTGGCTAAAACTGTCCATGGGTTAAATCCACATGCTTCAAGATTCAAAAAGAAAAGAAAAGTAAAATGTTTGGAATAGTGGATGATGATTAGGGTAGATTATGCATAGTTTTGGTGGTAGAATATTTTTATTATTATTATTATTATTATTTTTTTTTTTTTTGTGCGCACATCTTGAGAAGTGTTTTGTTCTATAAAGTTTAACTCTCTAAATAGTTAAAAGGTACATTATGTATAGTTTTGGTGATTGATATATTACATCTAGACAATGGTTTTGTTATACGGATTCAATTGATTTTCAAAAGTTTCATATAGCCTTGATTAAATGATTAAATAGCAAAATACTTCCATTCATTTGTTTATTATAGAAACCTACTTTTTTTTAAGTTAAAAAACGATAAACCAGATTTTCCCAACATGAACGTTTTTTATATTATTTGAGGACAAAGAAACAGAAGGTTTTCAAGATACTTACAAATCAAACCTCATTACAAAACCCTAATATACTACACTCAACCTATACTACAAAGGTTTTCAATAATCGATCAAGAGCAGAAGGATTATACAATGAAGAAGATAAACTACTGTGAAACCCTAAACGAGAGAGAGAGAGAGAGAGAGAGAGAGAGAGAGAGAGAGTTGAGAAAAATATCGACTAAATGAACAATCATCTGCTACTCCCATCAATATATATCCCGGGTTATGGATATAACCCATAGATATGAACCGGTTCTTGGATATAACCCATGGACAAGGATTCGCGCCTCACCTGCAGTTTGCAAGAAACGAGCCGCAACCCACAACATTTCCACAATAGCAGAAATAACCCCTTTGAACAAAATTATTTCGTAAATGAGAGTAAACCAAGAATTGCAACATTAACACAAATTACCCACACACAATAAATAATAAATATGATATTATAAATACATAGTATTTTCAACATCCCCCCTCAATCGGAATATTTATATTTCCTTTTTAAAAACATCAACATGCTCCATTTTATTTGATAAAAAATCATGTTGTTTAAAACTTAAGGATTTAGTCAGAAATAATAAATGACATGAAACAGGATGTTACATAATCATAGGAAAAAGGATCACACAAGGCACTATTATTAGTAAACCGATTAATAAAGGTTGACCTTAATTTGTATGGAAAGACGGATTCATAAAATTTAACATCCCTGGACACAAAAGATGAATTAGTGTCAAGACTAAGAAGTTTATATGCCTTTTTATCAAAAGAAACCAAGTAAAATACATTTCTCAGCACGTTCAAAAAACTTATCAGAAACATTTTGTTTAACAAGAAAACAAGGCAACCAAAAACTCTTAAATGATCAAAAATATGAGTTCTTTTAAAAACAAGTTCATAAGGAGATAATCCATTTTAAACAAAAGTTGGCATTGTATTAATTAAGAAAACAGAAGTCAAAACAGCATCTCCCCAAAATTTAATAGGAACACCTGATTGGAAAAGAAGAGAACGAGCTATATTGAGAATATGTTTGTGCTCCCTCTCCACAACTTCATTCTGTTGTGGATTGTAAGCACAAGACATTTGATGTACATCACCATTTTCAAAACAAAATGAACGCATCTAACTATTAATAAACTCAGTTCCATTATCAAAATGAACCACCTTAATTTTAACATTAAATTGATTTAAAAGAATGTTGTTGAAAGACATAAAACATTCAAAAACTTCACTTTTAGATTTCAAAAGAAAAATCCAAGTGACCCTTGTAAAATCATCCACAATACTCAAAAAATAACCTTCAGTTGTAGTAATCCTATAAGGTCCCCAAACATCCAGGTAAATTAATTCGCCTAATTTAGTTGTGTTATCTTGACTATGAGGAAAGGACTCCCTAGTCTGTTTTTCCTTATGGAAGACATCACAATGAGGTAAAGACTCATTAC